ATTGGAGGCTGTCGGGGGAGTTTCTGTGGGTGCATTTCTGAGTTCACATGTAACACTTAAATATTAACACTCCAGCAGTAGGAAAAGTAAGTTACCTTCCATTGTTGTCAGGAGAATAGCCAAAGGGAACACCTTTCTTTCCATGGCCTCCGGTGTTTTTATTGTCCAGTCACAGACACTGTTTACTAATTGGTTCACTCTTTAGACAGCCAGGTGTGACCAGCCCCAAATGTGACTCCACATTCCTGCCTTTGGAGCCTATGTAATTAGCTTCAACTCAAGCATTTCCTAGCGCAGCGGCTTTTCTCCCGCTCCTTTTGTCTGTGTGAGTCTGTCTTACCCTCTCTCTTTCTCTGTCTCCCAACATGATCTTTAATCCCTGCCTACACCTGTGCTTTTTGACTTGGCCCCCCTCATGCACCAAGGCAAATATTCTCCCCAACGCTAAAACACGGTAAAGCCGTAAGTTGTTTTTGAATGGGGATTCAAAGCCTTTCGGGTAGGTTGGGGGTCCTGAAAGTAAATACAACATTTCATCACTTTTGTTTCTTCAAATATTGGCCAAATGGATCTTCTGGAAGCCTGTATGATGCTGACACTGTGAGCTTTTATATACGTTTTTTTTTTTTTTTACTATGTGAGCTGTTGACATGGAAAGGTCCTCTAAGAACCAGAGTGGAGGATTTAGTGGCATCTGACAACAGTGTTGCAGATTACGGTGGCCGCAAAACTTGTGAAAGACCTTATCTATAGTCAATGTTTGTTTTTTGTCCTCTCCGGGCTACTGTAGAAACATTGCAGTTCAACATGGTGGCCTTCGTAGAATAGTATCTGCTCCTCCTGTAAATAAAAACGGCTCTTTCTAAGGTAGTAAAAACACAGTTCTTATTTTCAGGAGATTATACACTAATGAAAGCATACTTATAGATATTATATTCCATTTCTGGCAATAGAGCCAGACCATTGGACCATTTTAAAAGAGGAAAAAGTTCTAGTTGTTGCTTATTTTTTTTACAATATCAATATCAATAACTCAAATACCCACACAGACCCACAGTGATCCCAAATGACTCATCAGAGCGTGGCTGACCAACAGTCGTCCCCGGCCTGCCATCAGCCTTATCAACAGACAGGGTCTTAGAGGGGATTGGAAAACAGGAAGAACCTCCAGCACAGGGGATAGCTACTGGCACACTGTTTGTGTGTGTGTGCGTGTGCAAGCATGCATTTGTGTGTGTTTGACTGTCCATCCATGCATGCAAGTGCGAGTTGGCACAGTTAGTATGGCACCCAAAGTGAGATGTTCATGCCTTGCAGTAGTTATTTCACCAGGAGATTTAAACAGCTTTTAACTCCAGAGCCCTCACAGAAAAGTGACTTATTTTCTTTTCAGTTTAGAGCTTTACACAACTAATTTTCACAGCCATTAAAGCAGATATATACTCTGTGAAAAAAACATATTTAGCCTTGCTGGGTTACAACTACAGTGACGGAGAATGTTCACTGTAAATGGCACCCTTTGAGTGTCTGAATAGGCTTTTGTTCACCTCTTAAATAACCTGACCCACCAAAGGTAACCACCAATGAAAGAGCCCCCACCTCTCTCCTGTTTAACAGGTCTTAGTATGACCCACTAGTCAGGTTGCATGAATACAGACTTGTGTTTGGCTGTTGGCCAGTGGTAGTTTGTCTGCAAATGGCCAAGTCCCGGGTGTCAGGGAGCAATGCTGAGGAATCTGTACTTGTGTTGATTATTTATAGCCCTGCTGACATTTACACTGCTCTGGCCGGGAAAAACTCAAGGCTGCACTGTGCTTTGATTATGGTATTACAAGTCTTTCTCAAGATGGGGAAATGTCACTCTTTTAATTCTTAATGTCCATACCTGGTGATTTGCTCTAAATGTTGGTCTGCAAACCTTTAATTTTATGTAATTCTGTGGAAACGCACTTTTAGGGGGTGACTCATTTTCCTGATACAGTATAGGCCTCACTTCCTTAAGGAGTAGTTGTGAATTCAAGTGGCATTACTCTTCATTTTCAAGCTCTAGCAGGCCCACTGGTCTATGATGTCCTAAAGATGAGTCAGTGTTTTCCTATTCAGATGAATCCCTGGCATTAACTTTGTCCACTGTTTCGTAATCTAGGATATTGGGGCAGCAATCTATACCCAATAGCCCAGATGAAGCCGGTTCTGCCACAACACAAAACAGTACGTTAGCCCCTATTGAAGAGCTTGACACCTGCCTCTATTATATTTGTCTGATCTTCAGTCATACACTACCAGTATCATCCCCCGTCAGCAGTTTGAATAATTCCTAAAACTTAAAAAGGAAAAACACCACCGACCGACTTAAAAGAGGTAGCTGTTTGATCAGTCAGATCAGTTTTACTCTCTCTCCCGGTGCTTGGATGCTGCCTGTCATCATAACAGGTGTAAAACCTTCTTTAATCATATTACTGCACGTTTCACTCTTTTGCAGCGTTTTCTTTTATCATACTTTTTTTTTTTAGTGTGTCGGCACAATGGAGTCAGTGTGTGCATGTGCCAGTGCTGGTTTAAGGCAGGCAGATGTGAGTCTAGTCTTATCCAAACAAACAGTTGAATCCAACAGCTTCTGTCTGGATGGAGATGTGGAGATGATGTCATTGTTGTTACTCTTTTTGCTTTTAGAAGCCATGCTGATTATTATCTTGGCAGCACCCAAACCGCTAAGATATCAACACTGGTTTGTTATTGCCATTTAAAGGCCACGATTAAACTTAATTTCTCTTAACAGTTGGCTGGAGACCCACTGGCTGCAGGCAGAAATATTTTATGGAGTCTTTTTATTCAGTGACACCTGTATGTGTAAATTAATAGTTTGTAATATATATGAAAAGAGTCTGCTAAATAAATAACATAAATAAAAATCAAATGACAATAGCAGTGACTCGACAGGACTCCAGGAAGGTACTGTGCCTGAACAAGCTAGAGAAAAGCACCCTGCAAATATAACGTCTTAATTAGCAAGCTTTAGAGGTGCTGGTAGGCAGATTTTGTTACCTTCGAACAGCCAGGCCAGCTGGTCCCCCCCCCCATTTCCAGTCTGAATGCTAAGCTAAGCTAACTGAGTGCTGGCTATAACTTCATATTTAGCATACATACACGAGAGTGGTATCGATTTTCTCATCTAACTCTCCGTAAGAAAGCAAATAAGTTCATAACCCCAAATTATTCCCATATGGCTTTTTTATTGTGCACATATGACTTGACATAAAGTTACATCAGAAAAAGCTGTTGTCACACTAAGCACTGTTGCCCTCCTCTTGCCCTTTTTGGCCTAAATCCAAATGCAGGGCAGTAGGAGTAGACAATCATTAATCTGGACACATAATGACACGAGGAGGAGGAGATCTCAGCGTCTACACTTTACCATTGAGTAGGTTCCAAAGAAGCGGAGTTGGTGGAGCTACCCTGCTTCTCTGTAATTACCCAGAGAGTCCTGGGGCAAATCTATGTGGCTGACGTGAATGCCTTCCCCCTTCTTTCTCTCTCTCTGCCTACACACACTCACACACGTAGACACAGCATAGCGCCATGTGTCTGCAATATGGGAGGTCTTGAAGTCGTGGCCTCTGCGTCTCCCTACACTTGAGGGGAAATGGCACTCTCGGCCGTCTCTTGTCGGCATTGTACTCCTTCTTCCTTACATCTCACTATGCTCACGGTGATATATCCATGCCTACTTTAGTCTTGACATTCTCTTTAATCATTCAGACTTTGTTCTTTTTATAAAAAAAAACAGTATATAAAACATCTGAGGTATTAAATTTAGGTGTTCTGTGTTTTTACGGCCCTTTGAGTCCATGTTTTCGTACAACACCGAGCAGCTCACAGAGATATGCGAGGGGAAAACTGAGGTTAATATCACATAAAGTCTGTGAATCAATATTTGCTCAGTAATTTGCTTTCCAAAGGTCAAATTGTATCGCATGATTGTCTTGTGTAATGCCCGTGCTTGTATTGTACGTCTGCCAGAAATTTTTTTCACAGACAAAAGTGGTTCTTAAATCGAGGAACTGGTGATCATGCAAAGTATTCTTATTAAGAACTACAGAGCGTAAACACTTCTCTCCAGTGTGCACACTTACAGCATACAGAAAGTGGGACCAAAGAGCTCAGGAGAACTCAATGGGGTTATCTTTGTGGCTGGTTAACTGTCCCAGAGTTCCTCCTGCGCAGGGAGTGAAAGCCTTGAAAATGCTACTCCTCTGCAGCCTGTTTGCTTCAGACGGGTGTGTGAAAAGCGGAGGAGGGGTGTTTTGGACTGTGTGTGTCTGTCTTGAAGCAGAAGCCAAGGGATGGGAGGGGGGTGTCTGATGAATAGGAAGACAGGTCCGCTGCTCTGCTCTCCCCACTGCTGGAGCTTCCCATCATGCTTTGCATGCCCTCTCACAGAACTCTTTATGGCCTTGGGTTTGGCGCCAGATCTCCCACACACTTGCCAACAGCAACAAGTTTTTTTGTGAACTCTCCACTATCACCATTTTCCTACTTCTACAGTTCCACATAAAACAGCGTGGTAAAATGTTTCTGACTTTTACGGCATGTGAGGAACTCTTGATAAGTTTGTCAAGAGACCGGCCCAAAGCCTTAATTTGACAGTACAAATAACCAGAGCATGACTAGAGCAACATTGCACAGGCCTACAGACAGTAAAAAGTATCAACAAAGTGTCAGATGAGGCTCAATGGGTGTAGCAAACATAAACCCCTCTTTACTTTTAACAGACGGTTGTTTGAACATCTTTGAACTTCACATATTGAATTACTTTGAGTGTCTGGTAAAAGTGCTACATTAAGTACTGAAATGGAAAGAATATTTGTTCTAATCTGTATGAGCCTACACATATAAACAGTAAGTTATTATAACCTCGCCTCGTGCACCACTTCAATGTCTTCTGGGAATCGTCTGTTTATCCGTTCAGCCAGTCATCTCTCATCCCTTATGTCTTACAGGATGTGAAGATATTCCGAGCGCTGATCCTGGGCGAGCTGGAAAGAGGGCAGAACCAATACCAGGCCCTGTGCTTCATCTCTCGCCTCAGCCGCAATGAGATCATCCCCAGTGAGTCCATGGCCCGTCTCAGGCAGGTATGACAGAGCAGATCAGGCAGCATTTAAGTGTTTTATTATGAAAAATGGAACATTTATATGTTCCCATATAAACACAAGAGTGTGAAAACTGATAATTTGTGATGTCTGCTCAGAAAAATCCTCAGGCCATCCGTTTGGCAGAGGAGCGGAGAGGACTGGAGCAGCTGACAATGAGCGTGGCGGTCAACCTAAGTCGGGCCTGGCAGCTCAGCTCCCACATCCACAACATGTGCAGCGAGGCCCGGGAGGCCATCTACACCAGGGAGGCTGATGTCAAACACTGGCTGGACAAAGGTCAGTGGTCTGTTGGTTCTCCTCTGTTGGTGATTTGTACAAAATGTCTGCCTGTAGTCCTATCTCTTTCCCCTCCCATCCCTCCTGATTGCCTCTATACACTCTATGCCTGTACTGACACTCTTTATCTCCCCAACACTCTCTATCTTCCCTGTTTGTATCAGCTAAACACCTCTTTCCTCTTCATTTTAGTGATATTACTCCAAGTATTATCTCTGCCGTTTTGTTGATAAGGCTCTATTACTGTTCACGCTATCTATGTTAACCAGTTGTCTCTTTTAATTCCTGATAAAGGCACCCAGCACACTGGTTTTTAGGTACATTTATTTCTCTAAACAGTCGGAGAAATAACTGGTGACATGATTGTACAAAACTACCTAAACTACTACCTAAATTGATTTTTATAATCTATTTGTTATTAAAGGCCGTTATGCAGTGGGATCCAGTACCTTAATGGCAATGAAGTTCAAATTATCCAGGCTGAGGAGAATCCATACGACAGCAGTATTGTCCATTGACAGCACTGTTACAGAGGAAACAATGTTGATGGTCATGGTTCACCAAGCACTCTGCACCATTATCAGCCGAGGGATTCACAGTAGCATCTCCTTTGCATAACAAAGCTCCCCTTTTACTGCACCATCTCCCCTCTTTTAAGCCACTTTGTTTGCCCTCTCCAGTTCAATACAGTATTTAATTGAGTGAAATCATAGAGAGAATGATTCACATAACTCTATGATAGCTCGCTTTTGTTTTTAGTACCACATGCTTGAATAATAATGCCCCTCTCTTTTCTGTGTTATAGGAGTGGATGGCTCCTTATTTGAGGTCCTGCCCCAAACAACGGAGGCGCCCAACTTTCAGGCCTGTCACTTTACGAAAGACTTGTGGCAGCCCTGTCTCTGCACATACAGCCTGCGTCTGGAGTGGTACCCATGTCTGCTCAAGTACTGCCGCAGCCGGGACACCACAGGCAAAGGCTCTAACTACAAGTGTGGCATAAAGAGCTGCAGCAAGGGTTACCATTTCACCTACTATGTTCCTCAAAAACAACTGTGTCTATGGGACGAGGAGACCTAGCATTTTGTTCTGGATGGTTAAGAAAAGAGAAATACATTTTTCCCAGCCAAGCCAATGCTTCTCCACCCATGCTATTCAAAGTAAACACAGTAAGACTGGACCTCGGTTTATATGATGGTAAGTGAAGCAGTCTCAGGTGGGGAGTGGTGAGATCCAGATGTTCAAGCTGAAACTGAAATGAATTCAGGTTCCAAATGAGACCAAAACCTTGACAAGGAAGGAGACATGCAGGCCACAGTTGTTCAAAGAGGGACCCACTAACTTTAAGCCTTTTCTTGGACATGTGACATATCGTTGTCAGCTATAATGTGACTTTGCCAAGATGCTGTCACTTTTGTGCCTTTATTGTGGAGAAATTATTGGAGCAGATGACAGACAGACAACAACAATAACCTCTCAAACAAGCTACGGTATGCACAAAGCTTGGACAGTGCATTTCTGCTCAATTAAACACCAGCAGAGGAACAGCAGAGTCCCACTCTAATCAAAAGAGTCATACAAACACAAGCTTCCATTATGGTGAAGGAAAATGTGGATGGTGGATTTATCTTTCTTACAAAGCTATGTGAAAAAAACAGTTTATAGCCAGCAAAAACGCCTGTTTATAACAATGTAAGCTGGCTGACAAAGAAAATGCTTCTCCAATGCTGGCTTTATTTATTTTAGTTGCAAAGTGAAATTATGGAGGACTATTTTTGTATCTTTTTTTTTTGTTTGTTTAAAAATAACCTCATCAGTTTTCTTTCCTTTTTGCATTAAACAAGCTCTTAAAGGCACACGTCTGAACCACAGGTCCTCAATAACAAGAAGTATTCAAACACATTTCAGAACATTTTAACCTCTTGCATTTTGGATGTTGTTTCTAGGCTCATCCATATGCCATGCTACTTTGTTGCTCATGGTTATACAGAGAGTAGGGATAAACAGGTGTAGTATATTCTTTAATAGGACAGTTTTAGTTCTGCTTTCCCCATCATGTCCACCAGTCACACTCTCATTCTGTTTTCAAAAGTGTCAAACCAAAGTCAAAGGAAATCCTGTCAAAAGAAGGGTGTAATATATCAGTTTCTAGAAACAGACTCTTCAGTATGGTGTTTTTCCATGTTGAGTTCACTAAAACTGCAGTGTGGCCTTTTTTTTTTTAAACAAACAATACTGCCCTCTTCTGGATAAACAGTGTTTCTGTTGTATCCAGTTGCCAGAATTCTGGTTTTTGGCTTCTGGGTTTATGTGTTCATGTCCACAGTTTATAATTTATGAATTTTATATCCCTTATCATTTTCATATGTAATTCAAGGGGCACTTCTTGAACATGTGGGACCAAATTTCATTTTGTCCGTTTGTTCTTTAGAGCAATAGGTTGAAGTATATTTTTGGTTTGTCTTACCTCCATCTTCATTTCAGTCTTTACTGCCATATCAAATCTTTTTTTTATGTGTTGGTATGTCCTACTAACTAAAGAACCAAATGAGTGAAACATTTCTATTTGTGGCCTTTTCTGGTGATCAAGTGCCTTAACATTTCCACTGATATATTTGCTATGTAATTGTAGATTAAGTTTGTAAACATATTTTTTCTATGAAAGAGTTCTTTAAAATGTTGTAAAAAGTTGCCATAAGGAGAAAATGAAGCAATTAGTACCATTCAAGAGTTGTGTTTTACATGAATTGTTTCAATAAAGTCTTTCTTTGCACTGCATGCAGCATTGTAAGTAACTATTTTGGGGGACATTTTAGAGTACATTAAAGAGCTGGCAGGAAATGATAACAAAGCTCACAGGTTGGAATGGGAACTGGGAACATTACATAATCAGCATTTGAAACCACTTGGTTACCAGGATGCTCCATAATGTGAGGAAAATATCTGTGTAGTGGCCCAGTCTGTGGAGGTCAAGCACAGGCAAAACTGGAGCAGCCTTGCTTGTGGACACCTCGGCAGTGCTCCCCACCAGGGTTTCAACCCAGATCACGCAGGTAGGATGGTTCTCTGCAACCCTAACACCACCGTGCAGCCTCCTATTACACATGTTTGCATGTATTATTATTGTTATGTAGTTCTTCCATTTTGTCCCTCTGCTGGAGGAGAAATCGTATGTAATTCCTGCTATTGACCGCAAGGTGTCGCCACTGTTAAGAAATGCATGAGGCAACATCCCATCGCCTTAGGAAGACGTCAAGAAGGATGGAAACGTGCTTTTTTTGGTTAAATATCTAATACGCCTGCCATAATCTCTAAACTACGGCATAGTAAGGGATAATATAACCCAGGCTGAACCCTAACACATGCTACATTTGCATGTACAGCGACTGATAAGGTGGAGGGGAAATGAAGGGATGCTGAGGGAGGCTGTTGTGGTTGCTACCGGCGGAGCTAAAATAAAGGACAACAAATAGCAGCCTTCTTGTGTCTGCAAACAACCCCTGTACGCGTTAACAGTCCGCTTCAGAAACACCCCTAAACTGGACACACAACACACAGGATGTAGCTAAACGAAGAGAGATGTGCACCATCAAGGTAATGGTATTTTACTGCGTTTGTGAACATGTTACAATCCCATAAGAAAACGCTTTTGTTAGCCCCCCTTTAACGTTAGCTTGCTACCGGTCCGTTTGCTATCTGGTCCAGCTAACTGGGTAGTTAACCTGTTAAATGGAGGTAAGCTCTGGTCTTCTTGGCCCCTTGCAGTGTAGGAGCTTGTAAGATTAGTTTAGCAAGAGAATAACCATTAACTTAACGCTAACACTAATCCAGCTGGCTGCCTTTTGTCATTATTTCCTGTTACAGGTTTCCATGGGAACGTAATTAAAGTGTTATCTCTCATTTGAAAAGCATCAAACAGTCCCAGTATCTCTCACCTGTGTGTATATATAACTTTATTTCACCATGAAAGGTTAACAAAGTCTCCTTTAAACAGGAGTGTATTGGCGACAAATAGCAGCACATAGGACACAGGTTATAAAACATGTCATTTATAATAAGTTACAATAAGTTACATGAAATCTGTCTGTTTAATCATTTTACTTGCTGCACTTTTGGTTTGTGTTATATGCTGTTTATTATGTGTTTTATTTATTTCTATATTTTTTGCACGTCCAGATCCCATGTTGGATTTGATCTCTGCCTTTTTTGTGTGTTACATGTAGTTTGTGTTAATGACAGAATAAAACCAAACTGAACTTAAAGCTCCATATCTCACCCATTCATTGTAGCAGTTCACAGGTAAAACGAGAAAACAATAAATCGATCAACACATAAACTATTTGGGTAACTGATTGTTAATTTCATGCACATTTCCAGCCTCTTAAATGTGAGGATGTGCTGCTTTTCTTAACATGTGACAGTCAACTGAATGTCTTTGGCTTTTGGTCTGTTGGTTGCAAATCAAGACGTTTTGGATCACAATCCTTAATTTTTGGTGCTGCTATTTATTGAAAACTGTTTTGGAAAGCTATACCCAAATTGATTTGTCCCACTTCATATTATTGCATGGCACAGCTTCTTCACCGCCCCATGCTGCCCTGACATCCATGACGCCAGACTGCTGGGCGTAACACCCAAGACAACAATAATACATTTTGGATTCATTTATTGTGTTGTAAAAGAGCACATGTAATTTAACAACTAACTATATTTCTCATGCGAGCTGTCTGAGGCCCAGCACCCAGTGACCTCTCGTCTAGTTTTGAAACTCGGTTCAAGTCTTTGAGACTCGAGTGTACATCTTGTTCCAGTCCAGTGAGTGTGGGCCTGTCCATCTGCATGGTCTCACCTCCTAGCACAAACGTCACAACAGAAGAGGAGACGTCCCCCTCACCCCACCAGACCCTCGGCCTGCCAACTATAGTGCTATTATAGTTCAAGCAAAGGCTAATTGTTGGTCACTTACAAAGGATTGCACAGTCTAAGTCTTTGGACGGTAATGCTGTCTCTTTCTACTGTAAGCGATATTACAGAGCAAGATGCGCCTGTATGCTTTTTTGTCTTTCCGTGTAATGTGATTCAAAGTTGGCTTGATGAGTGCTGACAGAGAAGTTTTTGAAAGAAACCGTAAGTTGTTTTTTTGCTGTTTTTCTTGATCGTTTTTGTCTGTAGAAGAGAAGATGGCACTGGTTGTGGTTGGTGCACTCCTGTCCCTGTCCTGCTGGGTCTCTCTCTACTTTATCTTGTGCAACATTAACCGGTCCAGGAGCTACGAGTGGAACTGTCGCCTCGTCACCCTGCTACACGGCATCCTGGCAATCTGCACCACAGCATACATAGGCTATGTGGACGGACCCTGGCCTTTCACTTATCCAGGTAGGACGCTTACCCTCTGTTAACTGTAACTTAAGACATAATTACTAAACAATAAGGGCTGTCATAGTGATAGAAAAATATCAAGTAGAAGTAAAACAAACTGAAACTAAAGTCTTTAACATTATGTTTTAAATGCTACTTCAGTAATTGTCAAGTCATGTAAATCTGTCATTTTATTAATTATTATTGATTAGGTCTTCTTTGGCTAATTGTTTCAGCTCTACATTGCTTAGTAGCTTGAGTGTTACCCTTCAGCAGTGACCAGATGTTTTTACCATTCCTATCTTTATAGGTTCTTCTTTTCACATGTTGATATTTACAGTTATGTGCTCTTGTCATGATTGGTTTTGCTTGTATTTAAATAACATGCTAAATCCTACATGTCTCTGTTCACGGACGCCAGGTACTAAGAACACTCCTCTGCAGATAAGCGCCATGGTGCTAAGCCTGGGCTACTTCATTTTTGATATGGCCTGGTGTGTGTACTTCCGCACAGAGGGACCCGTTATGCTGGCCCACCACACAATGAGCATCCTGGGAATCCTGTTGACCCTGTGGTTGGGGGAGTCTGGCATCGAGGGCTGCGCTGTCCTCTTTGGCAGTGAAATCACCAACCCCCTCCTGCAGGCACGCTGGTTCCTCAAACAGACGGGACATTACGGGACATGGCTGGGGAACGTTGTGGACGTCTTGTTTGTGCTGCTGTTTGTGGTGATGCGAATCTTTGTAGGAGGTACAATGCTGTACTGTGAGCTGATCTCCCCAAGACCCAGATTCTTTATCAAGTGTGGGGGAGTGGCCATGTACGCTCTATCCTGGGTGTTTATGGTGGACATTGTTCGATTTGCCATTCGGAAGAGCAAGAGCTGGCACAAGCCGCAGAGAGACCAACAGGAGACAGTGGCAGCTAATGGCCATGAAGGGAAGAAGGACTAATCGGCTTGTATCGCTCGAAAGGAAATCGATTCACAATTTCACTTTGGACGTGCAAAGGAAAGTGCAACAGAAATAATTTGTTAAACTGAAATTTTAAAAAAAAGGTATTTCAAACTCATAGTTTGCTATGTCAAGAAGTATCCTGTGGCATCTGTCTGTAACGTCCAGCACCTGTGCATTTTAAAAAAACTCTGTTTTTTTTATGCAGTTATTGCAGCTGAACACATTTGTGTAAAATGTGCAGTTAACAAACAACACAGATGTAGTTTATGTCACTGAAAACCAAAGCACTTTGTATAAACACATGACCAGATGTTGCTTTCAGTTGCAGTGAACTATGGCCTAGTCATATGTGGTGGTGGTGGATGTTGCTTCGAAGGAAAGCTCAATGTTAGGAAATAAACTGTTTACATGTCATGCCCTAGGTCCTTGTGAAACATTTTGGTTATTAAAAAAGTAAGGATTGGTTTTCCTTGTAATCCTGTGGGGGTTTTTTAGCGCATGTAAAACTTGCAGATGTGAAAGGTATACTCAGGGAGATGAAGTCACAGAACAGAAAGTCGGGGTGAATTCCAGAGAAATGTGTGTGATGTGTTTGATTACTTTGTTTCATATAGTTTATAGTAATCCCTCTAAGGTTTTGCTTGCTGTCCTATTCCAGACCCTGCCCAAAAAAACATTTATTGTTTATTATACGGCGTCATGTGAAGGGATTCATGGGAAAGAACCTCTCAATTACGTAGTTCTACACTGGTAATGCTATTTGGATACTTATGTAAACTATAAATATCATCAGATGTTTGGTGTCAGAATTTGTACTTTATTTAGCATTTTAAGTTGACTGTGAACGTACACCTGCATGACTTACTTTAATCTTTTTGACAAAAGTCAGACAAAAGATCTGTACGCGGTCATGATAGCTCCGACTTCATTGGATTTAACAGTCATTTTACAGTCTCACAGAGATCTTATCAAGTGTGACTTGACAATTGAATTTAGTTTATTGTGAGCTATCTGTACAGTGTTCTGCTCTTTTGTCTGACTTCTGTTTCCTTTTTTTTTATCCAGAACCTTTAAACATTTTTCAGATGTATGTGCTCTACACTCTGTTTGCCTGAATCTTTGAGACGAACATACTGTCAGGACCAATCAGGTAGTCTCTGACTTGACTTGCAATCATGCATGCAACCTCAACCCTTTTGTTTTGTTGCCCCTAAAGTTTTAGATATCTCTATTAAATCTTTACACAAGTCAGCTACACACACACAACTATGGGCTGGGCAATAGTTGTCATTGATCAGTTTTCAGTAGAATCATCATGGCGAGATGATATCATCATATCACGTTGTTTTAAAAAGTTGTCCACTGTAATAATTCCAAACATACTAACATACAAAAACAGCTATTTAATTTAAGTGTGGGGTGTTCTGTATGAGTTGTAGTATTTTATGTGTGTTTTTTTCCTACAGTTGCCACAATGTGGTTAGAAAAATATTTATCTGATTATTACGATATTGATTTAAACCCTTTTGGCCAGACGCAACACACAAGTGCATCATGGGATGAAGGCCGGTAACTTGATATGCGTGGAGAATATTACAATTTTGCCTCCTCCATGACTGGATTTGTTTCTCGCTAAGAAAGTTACCAAACTACCAGCGCTCATCTTTGCGCTCAGACTTTATATATCAGAGTTCTTATTATAATGACCACATCCGGTTTGTTGTTTTAGTGCACGTTGGTCTCTGCAGTAGTGTTCTAAAACACTTTTCATCCCTTTGTTTTCTGATTTATATTTGATTTAATGTGTTGTTCTCATAGGTCTGTTTACATGGCTGCCACTGTTAAGAATCATGTGAGCATCACCATTATATCCAAGACAGTAAAACTCTAACTGGAGTGTGCCTTAGTTATGTGAATGTACTTCCATAATTTTTTGTTTGGTCTTTATGTTGTGATGTACTGTAAACCCTCCAACGTAAGCGTAGGAGTAATGAAGAACTATTTTCAGTTTGGGGTTTTATGATTCGCCTTTTGTGCGTGAAGTGAAATAAAGATGCGATAGATTGTTTGTATGCTTATGAATAAATTTCAAACAACAGAATGTCAACTAAAACTAAACAATAAGCTGCATTTGCCTCAGTAAATGCCAAAGACACTGTAGATGTATTATTGGAGTGAGACTGTAGTTACCTACGCTGTCCACATGATGGTGTCATATCAAAGAATGATCAGTTAAGAAACACATGAAGACATTAAAAGGCAAAACACCTTTACAGATTTCTCAAGTGAAAATAGTGTCACATTATACTTTTGGTTAAGCAAAAGTTTAACTAAAAGACAGTTTTACTTTTTGTTATCCTTTTTTAGCAGAAATTCAACAGTTTTAATGATGTTTTCATGTGTTGGAGCACACAAAGTTTACAATGGTCTGTGATATTGTATGTAATACCCAGTGTATTAGATGTATTGTAGTATTGTTGTCAGCTGACACGTAACTAATGACAACACAGTAAGGATAATCATATACAGTGTACTACTTCATACATTAATATGTGACAGGATAACAACAAACAAACAAAATAGATCAAAAGAAGATTGTGATAGAAGAATAACTGTAACATTGTTTCATTCATATACACAAACACTGTCTGTTTAAATTAAATAGGATTTGGACAGATTCATTGTGGTGGTGCACAAAATGGCCTTTTGAACACCCACTACTAACCGTATCCTACATTATAACATTGGTGATGCTGGGATCTTAAGTGCATTTTTAAAACAACATACTTAATAGACGACTAATGGAATCAATGAATATTGATTGCACTGAATGTGGATATTGGTATTGAAATACACTGACTCTGCATTAGTTTGTAGATGGACTTTTAAACTAAATAAATACTGAGATATGAATGAAAGCATCCAGATTGACTGAAATATATTTTGCATGTTCATCATTATGTGTCTTATACTCTCTCCCTCTCTGTCTCTCTTCCTCTCTCTCTACACACACACACCACACACACACACACAGCAACTCGAGTGTGTTTTCTCTCTGTTTTTCAGTGTCTTTCTCTCTATGGGTGAGTTAAGGAAATTTCATTAGAATAGGAGTGTCTTCTTGTGAATGATGGACAATGGCCCGGACTGTAAGCTGTAAATACTGAACATGACTGTTCTCTCAGTCCCAGACCAACCACAGACAGACAGAGAGCCATGGAAACCATAAAATAATCATACAACAACACATATAATCATCAAGTTAATCAACCACCTAAAGAAAAGTGCCTCCTTACTGGAAGATTACGCAGACATCTTTGCCTGCCATGGAAAAGTCAAGAAATATCTATACAAGGATGTGTTACCAAGGATTATTTTCATTATTACATA